AAAAAGGGAGAGAAAAATTAGCTTTATATCATCTTTCATAACTACCTGTATTCAGTCCTTCCTCATCCCCAATATTTAGCCTTCCTTGTTATCTTTTCTTCATGTTATTCTACACCCATGTGTGATTTGTTTACATACGAACATATATTATTGACTAGATTCCACACATAAGGGGGAACCTGTATTTTTTTCCCTGAGATTGTATGACCTCTATAACATTCTAATTCAATCCATTTCCTGAAAGTTTTGTGATTTCATTTTTCTTTAGAGCTGGATAGTATTGCATTGTATATATAATTTTTATTATCCATTCATCTTTTGATGGACAATTAGGTTTATTCTAATTCTTTGCTGTAGGAAATAAAGTAGCAATAAACACGGGTTTGTAAATATGTCTATGGGAGGGTATGAAGTTCTCTGGGTATAAGCTTTGAGGAGAAACAGCTGGGTCATATGGTACCATTTACACATTAGGTGGTATTTTTTCACATCATCAGCCACCCAAAAGATGTTAATTGTGTAAATGAGAAAGCTCAGGTCTTCTAAAGCTGTATCCACTCTCTTTTGTGTCATCCTTGACCTAAAGTTTATTTTCATATACTTCATATACATAAAACAACACATTTTAGTTATGTGTATACATGTATGTCTGTGTGCGGGTATGTGCATATATGTGGGTGCAGCTACTTACAGAGGTCAGAAGAGGGCGTCAGATCCCTTGGAGCTGGAGTTATGCATGGTAACTAAAAGTCACTTTCTTTAGTAAGAGTTGGAGAACATGAGTTCTATGATTAAGGCTAAGAGCCCTACACATCTCCTGGCTGCTCTTTCGTTTATTGCTTCCTAAGTCTGTGCCTAATGTTTTGGACCTCCAGCCCCTTCTCAGAGATTGCTAGCAAGAGTATGTTCATTTCTGACCTGATAACCAGTAGAACACCAGAATCAGTCCTTATCAGTAATCCTGAGACAGTTCTCAAGGGAAACTGGCCCCTTAGACTCCCTTAGTCCAGCTCTGCTATAGTGCTGCAATGACGCCATTGTTATCTAGCTGCCCATGATGTGAGGTGCTTAAGATTTGGGAATTTCCACCGTGCTGCAGTCTTTAATTTTACAAAATCTCCATTTTGTTCAGTTCAGGAGCCACCAAGCAGCTGTAGTGATGACAGTCCCCGAGCAGCCAGGGTATACCATGCAGATACTGGCTCAGAGAAAACACATTTAATTGGTATGGCTAGCTTTCATAGTAAGACAGGAGGGCTGAAGGCTATTAAAAGCTTATGTCAACTCTGTCTATATCATCATTTAAAAAAAAAACAAAGCTGAGTCCCCTCAACAGTAGTCCCTTTCTTATTCATCAAGGAAAGAGGAATAAAGAGGAAACATTACATCTCCCCAAGTGAGGCCTCCACTTAAAAAAATAAAGGTTTACACAACAGCTATGATTATAGAAACAGAGGAACCGTTCAAGGAAGGAGTGGGCAGAGGTTCACATCTGCTGGAGCTGCCAATAGTGCCTTGGGAAAGGTGCTGTGTAATTAGACCCGATGATGCCCCTGGTCTTGGAACCAGCTTGATAACCTCTCATCCCATGCCGCCTGTGTGCTCACTCACTTCCTGCTCAGTTAGTTCCCATATTAGTCTTTTGAGTTCCCCAGAAAGACCTGCCAATGGCACAAGGTTTGCTGTGGGAGTCTAAGATGGAGTTGACTGTGGGTATTCTCAGTGGGCCCACTAGTGAGCTCCCATCTCTAGAAGGAAAGGCCTCCTTTGTTAGTAGTTGCAGATTCTGTTCTGTGAGTTCTCAGAGGTGTCATTTGCAGAGCCCCAAGATGTACGTGAAATTCCCAAGGCACCCATAGAAAAATCTGAAGTACATATTTAGCCATCTTCTAGAATCTACTAATTGGATTCCTTAGTGGCACAGGAAGATGGGAGCCAGGGAAGATGTGTGACATGGGACAATCCGTGTCACTCACGATGGAAAATATGAACACCAGAAAAATTTCCTATTCTAAACAATGTGGGTTTAAAACGTACTCTCTGGAGACTCTCCCGAATGCACAGGCTTACGGTGCTATTTATGGTGGCTGGTGTGTACTTTATCAAGATTTTTATTCCAACAAAGGAACTGTATGTAAGGTAAGGAGGTGCTGGGATGGAAATTAGACTCCTGTATTTTAAACTAGTTATTCAGTACTAACCTGCAATGTAATATCAGAGACCTCAGTAATCTAGACTATCTGGAGGAAGAGGCCAGAATAAATGATGAGGCATGTTAATGGAAATACTGCCTTGAAAAATATGCAAGCATATCTGGTAACTTTCACCAGACTAACATAGAAACAGTTGTGTGTTGAAAGAAATGAACAAGGGAAAAATCGACTTCTGATCGGGATGACAGCTTTTCAATAAAAATGAATGTTTCTAGAGGTATTTTAAAACATTTACAAGGCTGTTCTCTCAGACATTTAAAAACAAAGCCTTGGAATGTAGCTTACATATTTCACATGTTAATCAAATCCTTTATTTACATATAGTTCCAAGTCACACTTTCCTACAGTCCTGCTATAAATAATTAAGAACTCAAAACCAGAGGTGTCGGAATTAATGCAGAGTTATGACAAGCTAAAGCACGTCTCTAAGACTGCCAAAGAACACTGTTCATGGCACAGGCAGCCAGAGCCGGGCTCTGATGTTACTCACAAAGCATGCTTACGGCATCTTTCGCCTTCTTCCCAGATGAATGGGAACCCATTTCTACAGCTGCATCCTTCCAGCTCACCAGGGCTTCAAGCCCCAGGGTATTGTCTTGCAGCACTGTTCTGGACTTCAGAGATGATAAAGTCAAGAACCTCCTAGAACATTCCCAAGTAATTGAATGAGAGTTCCCCTAATGAACGTTCTAGAATATTCTACAATCATTCCTGCCTGCTGTGTCTACCTGGCCAAATGACAGTCACCAATGTAGATCTCTCAGATGTACTGGTCAGTGAGAAAATTCAAAGTAAGAGACTTGATAAAAGAACTTGATAGTCAAAAAAAAAAAAGGGAGGAAAAAAGATCTTGATAGTCTTTGTTACATTTATTTTTTCTGCCTTTGGATGAGAATTTTTTGTTTATAGGACTGCATGCTTACCTTATGTTCCTAGCTGGAGATAACACGTGAATCCCTTGCTTCTATGCATTCAGAAAGGCAAATCTCCAAGCCCTCTCAAGCAAGTGGACAGTCATTAACATCTTTACCTGGGAGCCTCCAGGCAATCTTTCTGAATGCCTCACAACAAGGCTCTCAAAGCCATCACTCAAGTCAAGTGACCTCATTCAGAAGGTTGCTTTAACTTGATGGATTATTCAGGACTCTGGGGAGAGCAGTCAAAAGAAGGCATTGGAGAAGAGCCTTCTTTAGGGGGTTCAGCAGCATCACAAATGTTCTGACTCTAAAGTGAAGTTATGAAGTCCCAGGGGTGTGCATTACAATGAGTTAGAACCCCTCCATCTCTATCATATCCTATTATTTGGGGTATGTCAACTTTTTCATCATTAAAGTAGGTTAAAAGGGTTATTTGGAATAAAAAGATTCAAAATTAATTGTAAAAATCAGACACATAACTTTATTAGTATAATATATACACATATGTAGATATATATAATATATATAGTTACTGCTGAGAAATTTCTAATTGTTGCTTTGATAGTATTGAAGCCACAAATTATATAATGTGAAAAAGCAAATTATGATTTGCAAGGCAAAATTTATTTGAAACATATAAAGAAAATACATGAAAATAAACAAAGATTCATTTACTGGAGATGAAGCCTAATGTATTAGGGACTACACTATTTTTTACTATTGCCTTAACTTCAAACCACTGAACAATGTAAAGACTCTTAACAAAAAGGTACATTTTCTTTCACGTACATGGTTCTCTAGCTACTTTTAAGCAGGCTAAACCAGACTTGAACCAAGTAGCAATTAGATACTAGGTTAACAACACAGGGACAATGCCTGGTTCAGTGATACCCCAGAGGGCAACTGTCAATCAGCCCAGTTTCCTGGAAGATATTTAGTCTATGGAGAAAACAGTAAGAGCAAGTGCTGACTGTGTACTCTATGTCGGGGCATTGTCACCTCCATGACACTGTGGGAGAAGACCATTAGGAAGCTGTTTTCCAGGTGATAACATGGGGTCATGGAGGATGAGTGGACTTCAACTTGGTAACCTTGCCAGGATTTGAACCTGAGCCCATATAATTATATTCCTACTCTTTGGATGGTGTCTGTTTCTGCCCCACATTAGCTCTACCCTCCTCCAAAGACAGTAACAACAGAGGTGAAAGATAAATTTACTGGTGAGGAACCCAATTAGCTCTTACCTTTTACATATTTAGAGAAACAAGCCCCTTGGAGGATTTGATTGTTGCTGTGAAACGGGTAAGGACAGAGCATTCTGGCAATTTAGTTCTGTAGTGGAGGACTGTTTAAAGAAATCACGCCAAGCAACAGACTTGAAAATAGGTGAAAAGAGAGTTCCAACTGCAAACTCTGTTTCTTTTCCCTCTTCTTCACTCAAGCTTGATTCTCGGTTTCTAGCAGCTGGCTGCTCCCATTTGGCCTATCCTTTTACTTAACAGAATTATGCATTTATGTATTTGTGTGTGTGTGTGTGTGTGTGTGTGTGTGTGTGTGTGTGTGTGTGTGTGTGTTGTTTTGTCTATATGAACACCATATGTGTGCAATGCCTGTGGTGGCCAGAAGAGAGCATCAGAGCCCCTGGATCTGGAGTTTTGGGTGGCTGAGGGCCACCTGATGTGCATGCTGGGGACGGGACCAAGCACTCTTAACCGCTGAGCCATTTATCCAGCACCTATTTTACCTTAATTTTTTTTTTTTGCTCATTATAATATGACCTAATATAATTTTATTTAGAAATATTATCTGTAAGTTGTTTTTAAATGTAAAAAAGGCTATATGAAATAAATTAGTGTAAATTCTTCCCCAGAGTATGCCCCATTTTCCTGAGCAACAGCCTCTTACAGACAGAAAAATCAAGGTGCCATCAGCTATCCATACTGTGTCATCAGGCTCTGCCACAGCGTAGACAGGTGAGATCTTGAGGGGCTCAGTCTCCTTAAACTCAAGGTTTTTCACATGTAAAATGAAGTTTTTCCCCAATTCCCTACATCATAGATTCTTGGTATTGACTTGATAGGGCCAGGAGGTCTGTGGACAGAGTTCCACAGTACCATGAAAAGTAGGCAGCCATGATTTGTGGGTACGGATAGGCATTTCTTTTGGAGCAGGGTCCATAGTATTTGTCAGAGACTCCAAGTAATCTGTGGCCCCCTAATGAAATTGTAACATTCCACTGTAGTAGATGGTCCACAAGGCCAAGGATCACCTGATACTTTTGTGAATGATGTGACGGAGTCTCTGTTCTGAACACAGTCAAATTGAAAAAAGTCAGCGGCATTCTGAGACAGTCAACAACCTTGGTTAGCTGGGGGAAGAAAACTTACCTCCTCTGTCTCCATTTCTGTGACATGGTAATCATACAGGAGTTTTTTTGTTTTTGTTTTTGTTTTTGTTTTTTAGGGCAAGGAGGACAATGACTGAGTCTACACAGTTAAGCAGCTTATCCAAGGGACCACGAAGAACAGTTCATTCAGCCTGTCAACACACAAGTGTCTTGAATAATTTCTCCATTGCGTGAAGTTGTTTGGCAATGATGGAGCGGTGATGGACCTTTAGCTACGATAACCTTTCAAAACATGAAAATATCCACTGCCACATTTGTTATAGAGGAAGGTTCTAAACTCTGGGGTGGGCAGGCAGAACTGCACCCCTGATGAATGAAGTGGAAATGCTATTTGAACTTTCAGACCCAGAGAACACTGCCTGGAGTTTAGGACTGCTTTGACAATTATTGAAGACAATGTAGCTGAGGTCTGTGATTCAGAACCTGGCACATGATTGATTGTAAACAAATGGCAGTTTCCTTTTTCCAAAAATTAAATGAAATTTTTGGCTGGTGCTTATTTCCGCTTAAGAACAATTTTTTGCTGAGCTGAGTTTTTAAAGTGACTTTCTGAACAATGTGATGGATATTATACTGAAAATAAAGCATGTATCATAAAAGCATTTTGAAATTTAACCACAACTACAACACATGATTTTGAAATTCTCGTATAGCAAGCTTAGACATGGACAGCCAAAAGGCTTAGCTCTTCCCACCCCCGTAGACACATCTTAGTGGACACCAAGCTCACGGAAGGGAGGAAGTTTTGCTGGGAAGATGCAGTGAGCAAAGCCACAATATTCAAATTCCAAAATACTTTACTTCATTATCAAAGCATCAATGCAATTTTAGTAACACTGGACATTCATGTCTGTTATCGCGTTAATTTCTCTACATGGATAAATAAACCTGTCACGACTGAGAGAGATTTTATTATTCTCACTTATTGTTAAAGACAGAAGAGCAAGAGACATTGACCTAGTTTTTTAAGATAAATAGTAGTAGCTATCAGGTCTGTTGGACTTTAGCGCCTGAATACCCAAACATCACACCATTCTGTCTTTGCCCAGATGATCCAGGCCTGGTTCCTTACAAGCATCATTTATAGAGACCGTAGAGAAAAATTCACTAATGTTTTAAGGCTTTTTGACTAGCTGATATGCCAGATTTTTTTTTTTTTTCAGATGAGAATCAAGTTATGGACCAGCTTGTCCGGCTCTTTCAATTCCTTTATACCAAGAGTTCTGGTGTTACGGCTTAACACGTGCTGCTTAGGTAAAGCCTCACTTTCTGATGCTTCACTGAGCTAGCTACAGTGTAGGGTACTCTCGGGATCAGAGGAATTACTAGGTTAGTACCGATTGGTTTAGACGGGTCACATGACTTAGGAAATGACAGGCGTAAAGGTACTGTCAATCTATAAAAAGGGGAGGGGAATGAAAGACAGGAATTCGGCATGAGCATGTGAACTTCATACGTTTGTGGCTAGATACAAATAGAGTGCCCGGCCAAAGTAACGTAAGAGAAGAGGGTTTATTCCGGCTTATGGTTTAGGGAATTCGAGCCATCATGGTGGAAAAGGCGAGACAGTGGAACCAGATCCTATCTGTGGTAGTGGGAGTGTGAGCCTGCCTGCTCATCTCCTGGGGTCAGAAAGCAGAGAAAGGTGGAGCTGGTCTGTCATTCTCAAGCCCTGCTCTGTCTCTGCTTCCGCCAGCTAGGCTCCATGTCCAAAACGGTTCTACACCGTCTCCAAACAGCTCCGCCAGCCAGAGACTAAGTGATCAAATGCACAAGCCTGAGGGAGAGAGTTTGCACTCAAATCGCAACTGGAAATTATCCTTTTTGCCCATTTCCCTACACTCAGGTTGGACTGAAACTAAACAGTATGCATACAAGGAGACTGGAGAGATGCCTCAACCGTTAAGATGGCTCAACTTCCTGTCTTTCAAGAGTACCTCTGTTTTCTTCCCAGGAACCTAGTTGGGTGGCTCACAGGCTCGTATAACTCCAGCTCTGGGGGATCCAACATCCTCTTCTGGCCTCTGAGGGCACTCCTCTCCCTCAACACACATGTGTGTCATACACACACGGACACACCACATAAATAAAAATAAAACATGCATAAAACTCTACAGAAATGTTTTAAAAATAGCTTTCAATCTAATTACTAAAAGAATTTTGATTTAAAATGCAGAAACAAAATTTGATACTAAAGGCTAGTCTCCCCTCCCCCGCTTCTTTCTGGAGTAATCAATCTTCTAAGAGAACATTTTTGGGCAAATGTAACTATGTTAATGATTTATACAGTTTCAAAAGAATGTTTCATTTAACTTCCTAATGGAAAATAACGTTCTGTTCAGACATTTTAAAATGTATTTTAAAAGACTTGTACTTGAGACTCAAGGTCATGATCTAAACATTCTGAATAAGTGTTTTTATGTGTACTTGTCTGTAGTTTAATTGTCGATTGGCCTTGGTATTAAATCATGGGAAAAAAATGTCAATGATCCGTTCTAGAAGGGGATTTTTGTGGATCAAATGGATTTTTAAAAATTGCTTGTTTTTCTAGAGCAGTAAAAATATTTACTTTCAAATGTCTAATCATCGGGATATTTCAGAAGCCCATAAAAATGTATGAATGATGAAAACAGCTAAGCGTGTTTTCCTTCCCTTTATTTATGTCTCTGAGCCTTGGAATCTGATAACAATTCTACAATGAAGGCCTTTCTTCTGATGGAGAGAGGAGCTGGCGCTGGGTGTGGAAAGCGTATGCCGGGAATGTAGTGAGTTCATGACTTGAAAAGTGAGAGCATTGCCCTCTGCTTGGAGGAAAGGAGGCCAGACACAGGCAGAGTGAGGCCACCAAAGATCTCCACACAGATAAAAGTATCACGGCAGGTTGTTTCTCGGGATACATCAAAGCTCAGAACCCTGTCCTCTGTATGTGAAAGAAGAGTTGTTTGAACTCTTAACTCTTCTGTCTGAAGGAACCCTGTCACCCATCACACCCACTCACAGTTATCACAAAAGAGCAAATTCTGGCTTTCTAGTAGGGTGCTTGCATTCTCTGAGATGTAAAAAAATAACAATTAAAAAATTATAGTTTTAATTTTGTTTTTTTTTTTATGTGTGTGTGTTTCAGAGAATCAAATTAATAGTGATCTCTATTGATGTAAAATGGTAAGCATTGTGTGAATGCTTTCATATATTATCTCTTCTCATACAATAAAAATCTATGAAGTGGATACTTTCAATGTCCTTATTTTACACGGGGACAAGCAGAAAAATTTGAAAGACTGTTCATCTTGATAGTGGGCAGCCAATAAGGGACAGGTCTGGGATTGGCACCACAGGACCTAAGGTCAAAGCCCATGACTGTAACTGCTTAAGCCTGCCATCTTCGATCACGATGCCTCTTGGCGTTCTTTCATTTATACAGAGCATACATATTTATCTATATATCTCTGATGATATTTTGGGTATGCACTAACAAATAAAGCTTGCCTGAAAATCAGAGGGCAAAGCCAGCCACTAGTTAGCCATAGAGGCCAGGCAGTGGTGGCACACACCTTTGCTCCCAGCACTTGGGATCTCATGCCTTTGCTCCCAGTACTTGGGAGGCACATACACCTCTAATCCCAGCACTGGGAAAGTTGAGACAGGAAGTGATACGACTGAGCAGAGAAAAGGAATATAAGGCGGGAGGAGACAGGAGCTCAGTCTCCTTTCCACTTAGGAGTTGGCGAGTTGAAGGTGGCTCTGGCTTGTTCCTCTGATCTTTCAGCATTTACCCCGATATCTGGCTCTGGGTTTTTATTACAAGACCAATTAGGATTCGTGCAACATATATCTGTATTTATAATCTACCTATGCCTTTCAGCTGTGCCTGCTCATGTGTTATCATTGGTCCATATTTACTGGCTACATTTTAAAGGCCCAGAGCTTCTCTGTACTTGAGTAGGAAAGAGTGGGCTCTGAAAATGTATAGCTCCTTCCCCGATGTACGCATTCCTCCGTGACATAAATGTCTGTACATCCACAATCCTCACAGAGAATCCAGGGGGACGCAGAGAAAGAGACACAGAAGCAGGTGGCTCCGGCCGTGTGATGACGATGAGCACGGGCCTGAAGAAGACACAAGGAGGTGCCCGAGAAAGCCAGAGTCGCCGGCAGAACTGGGGTGTGGGAAGTAAAACCGGAAGGAGCAGAACAGAGCTGGGTAGCTTTATTCCCGTGAGGCTAGCGGAGAGTAAAAGCAGCAAAAGTGAATTCTGACTGATTTATTCATTCATTTGTTCAAATAGGTAATTGATTAAAAAAAGTAATTGAATGTGAAATGTGTACAAATAATGTCTTTTGCTTAGAAACAGTACATTAAGAATTTTCCTCTGATGATGCACAGATTCCCTTCTGCCAACTCAAAAGTCTTTCTTCTGCTTTGGTTAAGAGTTCTCTACTCCACCTCAGATATGAGCTTCATGACCCCTGGCACACTACCCCTGCAGGTGACTGTTGGTCTCTACAATTCCGAATTTTTGCACTTTATAGATACTCTCTGTATATGTATATGTGTATTTATTATAACATTTCATTTATCTATCATCTATCTATCTATCTATCTATCTATCTATCTATCTATCTATCTATCTGTCTGTCTGTCTGTCTGTCTGTCTGTCTGTCTGTCTGTCTATCTATCCATCCATCCATCCATCCATCCATCCATCCATCCATCCATCCTTCCATCTATCTATTTTTGTGGTACTGGGTCTTGAACCTAGAGCCTACAGTATGCTGGTCAAGTACTCTACTGTGAGGAACATACCCAGTCCTCTCTTTACGTTTATTTTGAAACAGGATCTTGCCCACACTGGCCTTGAACTCATAATGTTCCTGCTTCAGCATTCCAGGTAGCTCGGATTACAGGCCTATATATTGAATGCGGTGTCTCCTTTTAGCAAATCTAAAGGCATCGTCACAAAAAGTTAGAGTGAGAAAGCCAAGTGAAAGACAAGGATCACCAGCAAAAAAAAAAAAAAAAAAAAAAAAAAAAAAAAAAAAAAAAACTTCCTAGAGTCCCAGGTGTGACAAAGTGAAGAGAGCTTTGGATAAACTCAGTTTAGAGTCTATGTTAGGGAAAGCTGGATTAGATCAAAGGTGTGTGTATGGCTGAGTTTCTAGGCAGCCAGGACACAGGGAGAGCATTCCAGTTCAGGAGCAGGAAAGATAATATGGTATAAAATGTGCAGTTAGCTTTACATTGATTTAAATTTTATTTTATTTCTGTGTGTACATCTGTGTGCATATGTCTGTGTGAGACTTTGTTCACGAATATGTACGGGTACCACAGAGGCCAGAAGATGGTGTCGGATCCCTTGGCTAGGCTTTGGTGACCTGCTTGACATGGGTGCCGGGAGCCCCGGTCTTTACAATCAATCAGCAAGTGCTTAGCTGTCCCTCTAGCCTTGCTGCTGCCTTGTAAAACGATCATTTAAAAACTCTTTTTCTGAGGAACGAAATGCTTAGGAATCTGGCTTAGTTTAATTTGTGGTTGTGACACTCAATGAGAATACAAGTTTTTAATTATTTATCATGGAAAATCAGAATTATATCTTCTAACCAAAGTCAGTAAGACCAAACTAAAACAAGGTATTTTATTTGCCAAGTCTTAGTGGGTAAGGAGAACCAATAGATTCTTTTTTTGTTCTGCTATGTTACTTTCTCTATGGGGGTTCAGGGGTGAGGTATACAAAGGTCATATGCTATTTTTAGTGAACAAACCACAAACCAGTATGAGGGTACATATTATGTTTGGGGTGACGAAAACACAATTTTCTGGTCATCGCTTAGTTTTACATAGGTTGAAAAGCATGCCCCATGCTCTTCCTAATTCTGCATTCTTCTGTTCCATCCTCCCCTCAGTACCCCAAGTAGAGCCTGAAACAGAAGAGATGCCTGATAAAAATGTGTTGGGAACGGATGGATGCATCTGTAGCTCTGACATTTGGAACCACTCTATTTTAGGCTAAGTAACTCTACTGCCATTCAATCTGGGATGAATTCTTTTTGTTCCCCATATCCAATGGAAAGTCTTCCCCAGTCTGGCCCTAGGTGAATCATGCAAGGCCTTAGAATTACTTTTAAAAAATGTATGATTCCGTATTATTTGTTTGATTTCAAATCAAGCAATATATGACCTATTGCATACAATAGACAATACCAAAAGCCAAAGTAAGTGAACCCTAATTGCCCTGGGAAAACACCCAGTGCTGTGGCAAGAGGAAGCCAAGGTCTAGAGTCAAAGGAAGAGGGACTTGTCCAGGGTCTCATATGCCCTTTGTCCTCAGTTCTGGACTGTGATTTTGGATAGCCCTTGATTCCTGGGTTGACCATCTGTTTCCTGGACACACCCTGCTCTTGCCCATGAAAGCTGGCTGCACCATAAAGCCTAACTTTCACTACTGCTATAAATGACCAGTTTTTACCAAATGCTGAAGGGGTTTACCTAATTCCAGCATAGCAGAACTACATAGTACACTTTGAAACACAGACAGGGAGATTCAGTACCAATATAAGGCCGTAGTTAAACACAAGCAGAAATACAGACAGAAATGTTAGCTAAACAATATTTGAATGAATTTGTATACATTTGTTCTAGGTTATTAAGGAGCCTAATTAAGCTTTGGTGCGTAGGCTTTTTACAGCTGACATTAACAGAAGATAAATCCTTGTTCACACAGCATCACCACCACCCTGGAAGGAAGGACTCAAGCAGCTGTGTGGTCAATGCTTAGGTAGTGTTCCGGCAGTAAGAAAATTAGGCTTATTCACTCTAAATCACAGTATGGCTCAGACCACTGTGAGCAACTTCTCTCATTCCCATGGGTTCCCTAACTGCCCATTGAGGTGGTTAGCAAAGAAACGGAAGAGCTCCATGTAAAGCCACGCCTACTCCACTCTTTCCTGAGTGCTTCCGGCCCCAGCTTTCCTCAGGCTGCTCCGCTGCTCCCCTATTCTCTGAACTCTTGCTTCCTACAATCCTTTGAGGTACAGAAGTGTCTGTCTGCTGATCACCATCTTTTCTGCCGTCTCTGCTCAGACGCTGCAACCTGATTGGTTCTCAACAGACATTTGTTGGGTAAAGAGAGAGCCCAATAGAAACCAAGGCCAGCTAGCACTACATTAGACAGAGTAAGAGGTGTGCTCCCCCTGTCTGGATGGTGCTCACACACCTCTAATGTCCACTCAATTTCAGGTCTAATCCATCCCTGGGCTTCCTCCATCTCTCTGCTAATTAGCTTCCTGTGATAGTTTCCATTATGCCCTTATGACCTCTTACTCTTTAATATTGACTTTCGGGGGGATATGACTTCAGTTTTTATATCGCCACAACACTGGGTTTGCCCCCAATGGACCTTTCTTATAAGAGTTTCTCTTCCTTTCTAAATAAAAATCCAAATTCCTATCTTCAAACATCTGGAGAAAATCCCCATGTTGATGTAGTTTCTACCTGAAATTCGACACCAGTCCCATGACCACCAAGAATGGAGTCTTCTCTCCTTTCCCCACTGGGGACAAGGCAGAGACTTTTCTTGGCGATGCCTGATAAAAATGTGTTGGGAATGGATGAACGCGTCCATAGCCCTGACTCTTGGAACTACTCTATTTCAGGCTAAGTTACTCTACTGCCATTCAAAATCTAGGACTTAGAGTCTTCGGATTTTCTCTGAGTTTCCCCCTCTCCTGATGAGTTTGCTAATTACCACACGGGATCTCTTCCCTCCCAGTCACTGCTCTGATTCTGGCTCTCATGACCGAATACTTGATACCAACTCTCCTGGTATCGGCGTCTCTGTATCTCAGTCCTCTGTATCTGACTTTTATCACCACACTCTCCTCCCACACAGCTCCCTTGTTAAGGTTCCAAGATGCCTAAGACCTTTCTCTCAAGCCCTCCAGAGCCTCCCTGCAGTAGATCCTTCTCCCTCTGGGATTCATGTGTCTCATTTTCTCACCTAATCAGCCTCCTCTGCCTGCCTCTTTTTTTCTATTGATAAACTGCATTTCTCATGGTAATTTTAGGTTTACAGAAAAGTTATGTGGAAATGACAGAGTTCCCATATTCCCTTTATCCCTTCCGCACGCACAGCCTCGACCATTATCGACATCCCACACACAGTGTTATACTTGTCACAGTGGATGACTATAGCTATATATAAATTCATATGTCATTTCACCCTGACCCCACAATTTGCATTAAGTTCAAGCACAACAGCGTGCCTCTGCCATCACAGCATCTCACAGATGGTTTTGCTGGTCTGAAATGGCATGTTCCATCTACGCATTCTTCCCTCTCTCCTCTCCAGCTCCTGGCAACCACTGGTCCTTTTGCTATTTCCTTAGTTTTGTGTGTTTTAAAATTTTACATATTAACTGTTATTTTTTAATTTGGATAGATACATCTTGCACGGTGGACACTTCCCTCCATCTCCCCTTCCTCCTTTTCTCATACTCCCTCTCCTGATTTGGATAGCTTCCGTTTTCCTCATCGCTATCTTTGCTTCCTCCACAGGGTACCACTCCCTGCCAAAGCATTCTGTGACTAGTTTCATCTCAGGATGACAATTGTCTTTCCTTCTCTTGGCATTGATATTTAGTTCCAGTTATGTAGCTGCTGGTTATTACTTAACTAGTGGTGATGGTTAGGAATATCATTGACAACAATAATGGCAGCTACTAGCTGTGCATACTGTATGTCAGCTATGGGGTGAGGCCATTCATAAAGCTCAACAATCTTCACAACAACCACAGAAGCTGTGTAGCTATTATGCTGATTTTATGTAAGACAGCTGTGACTTAGAGGTCACTTGCTCAGAGCAATGTGGCTAAGTGGCAGAGCCACGATGTGCCCCCAGTCCACAGTGCAATGAGTACATGCATAGACATACATTCCCATGAGTAGCCAAGTTCATCCAAGGCCAGACTTTCCACTTTCTTTGGGATTCTTCGTACAGGTGGGTAGAATGAGCATGAGCCCCAGGTACTTTCTGTTACAGGTTTAGGTTTTCAGTGTTGTACTACAAGATTGTAAGGGGGTCATGCTTTGCATCTGTGCACTGGAATTACTGGCATGCAAAACCATGGAACAGTTTTCTTCCTGTGAACGCTTGGTTTGCTTTCCTTGAACATTTGATCTAAGGCACGTTAGATGCCACTGTCCTTTGGTCTGAGGCCTGGATGTTAAGATACACATTTCCACCCTGTGTGCCATATGTCAATGCTTAATTTTTCCAACCTGCCCTCCAGGTCACCACCTCAAAGACCTTATATATTATGACAGCTTCCAACTGCACCCTCCCCAATAACTCAGACCATTAGTAGTAGCCTTTCTGATGCAGATGACCAGGCACGGATGCTTTTTCTAATAAGAATAAAATCTGAAATAAGACTCACCTGGGGCTTGCTAGACTGCTTCCAATAGTCAATATTCAGAGTTTTTATTATTTCAGTATTACTAGTGGTTTTAAGCCTTTGCCCATGCATTGCCTTTTACCATTATAAACTCTATAATGCACAGCCTGGGTAAAAACGCAATTATTTGATTCTTCTCTAATCTCCTTTTTTTTTCTTGAAAATTGTTTATTTTTTTTTGTGAATGCAAAATTTAGACTTTTAACAGAAAACTGCTTTATATCCATAACTATTTTTACAAATCATTTGATGTACAATATGGCCACATTTGGCCCTTTGGAGGGAAGAGCCCTTGTGACTGGAAACCACCATTGCTGATCATGTCTGTCCATGTGGACCTTACCTCTCTGCTTCCAGCCGCATCTCTTCCCTCTTTTGCCTCCTCAGTTCCCTGCGACGCTCAAAATCATCCATAGTGAGGTTGCAAGTTTAGGGAGCCCAGATAGTATCTGGATCTACAAGGAAAGAGGCGGAGTCAGGATCATCGAGGAGTCATGAGCCCCTGTGTTAGCCCCTCCCATTTTTGCCCCTTCACCTTTTCTTGATTTTTAAGAAAAAAATATCGTGGAATACTGATACAGCCGCCAGCGGTCAATTCTCATTCTTAAACTATTAAAGATAAGGAAGAGCCCAGGATTACATTTCGAAAGTAAGAAGTACTCTCCGGAGACAGAAATATTGACAGAGTGACTTCAGAATTACTGCATGGTCTCGTCCTTTGTCACTTGCTGAACCCCAGACAACACTTGCACAAAAAAATGAACAAAGAGGAAAGCAGGAGGGGAATGAACAAGGAACAGCACACTGGCAAGGAAGGAAAGATGTGGAGAGCAGGCATCATTTGCAGATTCTGAAAGTGTTAGCGTCGGGATTTGTTTTAAACGTCTGCAGAAATCACAGGAGAAAAAAATATCTCCAGGAAGCAGCAGTTTAGAAGGCAGCTAAATTGTGATCAAGCCGTCTTCGGAGCTCAAAAATCCCAGCTCTCTCCAGATGTAATCCAACCTTTTTACCCTTTCCTACCTCCTCCGAGATGGTTCTGGTTCTGGGAAGAATTTCCAGCTCTGCAAATGCCGAGCCGTCTTCCCCTGGGTATCTGCAGGATGCAGTTAAATGTTCCAGAATTCCCCCACAGCCCCCAAACCCAAAATGACTCCCAGGAAAGGGGAAGCGGGCTCCTGTCCTCGCTTTGTTTACAGAGCTGTCAGTGGTTAGTTAAACTAGCCTGGAATCTGGCATTTAAGGCCTGCTGGAAGATGGTTTCCTGTGTGAGGCAGGAGGCCTCCACTTCCTCTGGATTCCTAGGCGCTCGGGCTGCACTCAGATCACAAAAATATTTTCCAGTGCCTTCTATGTAGATGAGATGAGCTACTTGTCCTGCGCAAGAAAATCGGGGTGGGAAAACCCAGGGCTGTCACAGGATGGCAGCTTTGTTTGAAAATGAGTTCAGGAAAAAAAAAAAAACCTGAAATAAATTGGCATAAAAGTTTTTTGCCCTCACCACTTGTATAGTTCATAAAAACAAAAATCAAATCTCAGCTAACAAAAACAAAACCATGCGATGTTTGAATTTTTTCTCACTTTCTACATCCTCTAAGGTATTAAACTGTTTATGGATCTCTAGAAACTTGAATTTGGGTTTTTATTGGAGGTTTTAAAATCTCAGTTGTTTTGTTTCACTCTGACAAGAGGGTTCCCAATACCTTCCAGTCATGAAGGAAACATGGTTTTCTTTTCACATTTCACCAACCAGAAAGGTATTTCTCAGACCACATGTGGTGGAGCACGCAAGTAATCACAGGGCTTGGGCGACTGAGGCAAGAAGATTGTAAGTTCAAATCCAGTTTGGGCTAAAGAGTAGGACCCTGTCTTGGAGAGGAAAATAAAGAACCCTCTTCCTACCAAGCCCCCTACAATTTTACTTGTTTTCTAGTCTGAATTCTCTATAATTATTAGAATAAAAAATCAAAGTGATCAGAGGTCTCTGTGAGGCCATCTGAAAACATCTCCTGACCAAGCGTAGGTATATGGAGCAGCCATGGGGACAGCAGACCCAGAATGCTGATGCGGTAAGACAGGGGGACTCTGCTTTCTTCCTTTAATACAGTCTTCGATCGTGTAAAACCCCCTCTTGAATAACTATAGCAACAGCAGACAGGCCTGGCGGAAAGAGGTCTGCCTGTAAGCTTTGTAAGGTTTCAGTCGCGGTGAGAGCCCCCTCGGAGATGGTTGGTGCTCCTGCCTACCAAATCTAAGCAAGCATCTTGGCAGTCCCAGCGCTATACTTATACCTGTGTCTTGGAAGTGTCAAAGAACAGTGAACAAGGAGCCCTGGGTCCCGAGAAGACCAGGAAGAACCAGTTTTCAGGGACAGCCAGCACAGGTCAACAACCCCATGTGGTTGCTGTGGTGCCCCCGCAGTTCTTCCTCCAATTCTGCCCTCCTACTCGCCACCTTTTATTACTTACTGGAACGCCAGTTTTCTTTCCTAACCATAGAAAAACTTAGGATTTGGGTATAGGCTGAGTATGTACCTGTGGGCACAGAGGGGGAAGAAGAGACCACAGAAGCGTGTTCTTTCATGTAACTCTGTGGACCAATGCCCTTGTGGACTATGTTCTGTGGATATCTGGTGGAAAAATAAAAACACATCTGTGCACCGTGTGGTATGACTTTTGGTGGCTGTGTGTGTGTGTGTGTGTGTGTGTGTGTGTGTGTGTGTGCTTATGTGTGTGTGTGTCTGTGTGTGTTGTATGGTAGAGAGGTGCACTTATGAAAATGGATCTTGGCTGGTCTTAATGCAGGACGCCCTCACATCACTCTACTCCTGTGTAGGAGAAGCCATGTCTGAGTAGAATTTTGAGTGATTCCCCCTTCTTTGGGTAGCAGCTGCACACATGTCCCCGGATAGTAATGCCTCATTTCCTCTCCTCCCCCAGCTAGTAGAGTGATGAAATGTCCAGGCAGAGAGAGAGCTGAGCAACAACGAAGCTCTTGGGTGTCACAAGAGAGAAAGGCAAGCAAAAGGAGGTATCCATGGATGTGGCAGAAATTCCTGACAAACTTTAGGGAGAGCTAAATGTGGGACAGCGATTACTGTCATGCTGTTAAAACAAAAAAACCGAAAAACAAACAAACAAACAAACTGTGATGGGACTGCTTTGGTTAACAAGTGAACAGTCTTTGTCAAGACAGACATGTTCTTACCTAGGGCTGTGTTTGTCTTTCCAATACGGTTTCTCACACTGGGTTTTTAAAAGGCTGGCCTGCTCTATGATTAAGGAGTAGGTGGGTGCTGCAGGTTTCAGAAAGCATGGACACATTGTCTTTTCCTTGGCTAAAGACTCTGCAGAGCTCACAGTCCAGGTGAGAGGCAGGATGGGACCCAAGTCCTTTCCTCCACACCTCACCAGCACCTCAGGGTCTCCTGAGCTTCCCTTTCATAAAGGGGGTAAGGGGATAGTACTTTTTGTGTATGCCCCGCCCCTGGAGCTATGGTTGGCCTGGAACTCACAGTGATCCTTCTGCCTCTGCCTGACTTAGTTTCTTCTCCATCTCCCTCCCTAGATTAGGATCTGAACTCAGGTCCTCTTACCTATGTGGCAAGCATTATACCAACAGATCATCTCCTCAGCCCTAAGAAATCTAGTGTTTTACACTCATAAGATCATTATTGTTTTCCTCCATGGGCATATGGTCTTACTGTGTATATTTCCTGAAACTCTTTTAAAAGAGTGAATCTGATTCTGCATTTGTATAGATTAAGATATGTGGCAAGCACAAGCCACCTTAGACATGTGTGTGTGTTCACACATACATGCCTGCACACATGCACAAATGCACTAAAGCAGAAAAAGATCATGAATAAGTGAGTTTCCAACCTAGCACTCAATTGTTAGGGAATGAGGCCTCTGTAGAGAGTTATGCCCTATCAATTTCCAAAACATCTGAAATCAAATAATGGACAGGAATAGAGGAAGTCCTCAGGATGTGGGGGCCATTTCCTCAGCTGTCTTAGAATAAAACCTGCTGCTTCAGGGACACTGAAGGGACTAATGGCAGCCTCCACAAGGAGCACTTGCTAGATCTATTCTATATGATATGGTGGGCCATTTTTTTTTTTTGCTCTTTAAACTTTTGATCAATAAATTTTGTTTCTCAGAGCATAGAGTAAGTAGAAAAAAAGAGCAGAGTTTTTTTCACACCCCCCCCCCTTTGCACACACTTTTCTTCTACATTTAGGTTGAATTGTACCACTGAAGCAAGAGGAAACACATACACACACACACACACACACACACACACACACACACACACACACACACACACAGAGAGAGAGAGAGAGAGAGAGAGAGAGAGAGAGACAGACAGACAGACAGACAGACAGACAGACAGAGACAGACAAAGAGAATGTTAAAAGTTCTAGTCTCCAATACCTCAAAATGTGTCCTTATTTGGAATAGAGTCTTTGCAGATGTAGTTAAGGTAAGGTGATTAAGACAGACCCTGTTCTAATACAAGGGTATCCTCATTAAAAAAGAGAGAAAGAGAATTTGGTATAAAGGGAAACACATACAAAGGAAAGATGATTTGAAGACACAGAGAGAAAGCACACCATGAGAAGATGGAAAGAAGGAGTGACAAAAATCCTTCCTTCGTGTCTTCAGAGAGAATGTGGCCTTGCCTACCACTTGACTTCCAACCTCAAACCTCCCACGCTGTGGGGCTTTTGTTACAGCAGCCACAGGAAACAAATGTGTTCTGTTTCTAACATCTTTCGGGACTATATAGTACATGTGCTACAGTTGACACCTGATGCTAGTATATACTCAAGTCCATAGAGAACACGCTCTTTGGTTTTGTGATATGCATATTATCATATATTCACCATCACAGAACCATACATGATAGCTTCCTTGCCACAAAAATCCCCTATGCTCCATCTATCTCCTTCTTCCTCACACCTAACCCTGGTCTATGATCTTTTTATGCCTCTGTAACTTTGGCTTTTCCAGAATGTCATATTCTCAAATACTCACTATTTGGATGACCTCTTCAGACTGGTTTCTTTCACTAACAATAAGAATTCACATTTCTTCTGTGTCTCTTTATTTTTCTGAGACTGAGTCTCATATAGCTCAGACCCTCAGACTTACTTTGTAGCCCAACCTGGCCTGAATGGACCTCTTTGCCTTAACTCCTCAAGTGCTGGGACTACAGGCATGCACTACTGTGTTCAACCTCTTCCAAGTCTTTCCATAACTGGATAGCTCTGTTATGTTAAAAAAAAAAAAAGGCAATTTATGACATAGCCGTTATAACCGTGTCCATCGTATAGATTGTCCAACTATGTACTCAATCATTGTACTGTTCTTGGGCTAACATGGTAGCTGTTTCTCATTTCAGAGAATGATTAGGAGTGCCTCTGAACAGTTCTGGGAGTGCCTCTGAACAG